GCTACAGAATCATGCTGCAGTGGGCTTTTACAAAGGATTGATGCACATGCTATACACATACAGTAAATGGCATGTACCCTTTCAACATAAAAAGGAACATTAAGTACGAGAAAAACACAAGTCTGTCCTGACTGGTTTGAGGCTATCAGTGATATGAAGCTTTTGGAATTACATGCAGGGCAGCACAAGCTGATGATTTAAGGATTAGGGTGATCAACATGATATCAAGACTTTATCATAGACACTTCAAGCCAAACCAGTCCAGTCTAGATCAGCATAGACAGCATACTCTTCACCACCATGCTGCCCCTCAGCACTCTTACAAAGGGAGTGTTTGAATATTTCACCTTACACCGATTAAGCTCAGGACTGAGCAGAGGGGAGCATAGCAGATCTTTGACCAGTGCTTTGGGGATAGTGAAGGACATTATGCTATATTACCCAGCAGGCACCAGGTGGTGGCGGTGCAGAGGACACCATGGCAACACCATGAAAATGCCATGGCAACACCATAGCAACTGTGGCCTCATTTGCTCGCTGGTGGTGTGGTACAGCCCAGACTTGCTACAGTGGCATGGTCGTCAGATACACACTTCAGTCACATCAGTAATAGTAACATTGTTCATTAATTATTTCATCAATCAATTAATTGATCATCATCATCATCAACAATCAGTCAAAAGGAGCAAGAACACAGTATCTACTGGTCTCTGTTTTTTGCTAAGTGAGAGACGGACAGAGGAATGAGCTGATTGGAAGAAAAAAAAGTGACGAAAGAAAAAAAGCGAAAGGTCGATGGTCGGGTTAATTAACAAAGAGATGTGATCACCATATGATAAAACTTTAAAAAGAGAGGTGAAAGATGTTGAGAGCTTGTTAATGAAAACCAGGAGGATGAACTGCAGAGGAAAGCAGCAGAAAGCAAGAGACAGAAAACTGTGTGAGAGAAACATACTTATGTGTAAAAGCAGCGAGTGTCAAAAAGTGATGTTAGGTAGTACGAGGAGTGACAGACTGATAGCTATAGTAGATACAGATGAATAGAGAGTTTAGACTTTTACTTGTCTTTTTTGTCACAGGCACTAATGTCTTCACAGTCATATAGGAGGAATCGAAATTCAAAAATGATTTCAGTGTCTAGAATCGCTACAAAGCTAAAACATTTAAAACTATTTCATCTAACACTTCCTCCAAATATACCAAACTTAACTAATATATATATATACCTGTATGTATATATATGTATATATTTATTTGTACATATATATTTCTTTATAGATAAATGATAGAATTCAAAAGATAATTTCATACAATAAAATATCTCAGTTAAATCACAGTATAACATGGTACATTCTCAAAAACATAGTATATTTTAATATATTCTTTTTTCTCAGCATAAAATAAATAAATAAAACAAAAATAAATAAGCCAGAGGGTTTTTAAGAGTCACTTCTGTTCATGCAGTCACAGACTTAAGTATTAGCGCCTCAATAGAAATAAAAAATGCTCAATGACATACCAGGTTAAAGCCCTGTTGATTGATTGAAAATGACTGCTCTACTACACAGAAAGCAGTCGAACAGTTGCCGTGGTTTCCACAGTTGGTGGTGCAGAGTGAGCGAAAGTACTACCTCACTGAAAGGTGGCTGCCCTGGGTCCTAAGCATTTGCTACAATTGAACTACACAACCCTCCCACCACAAATCTTTGAGATTTCATTCAGCTAAACATGCAGTGATTTTGGGGCTGTCCAAAGAATGGGAAATGGCAAAAGCATTTCTCTAAAAAACAAAGACAGATTGTTGTTAAAAATTGCCCCACACAGACCTAGATAAAAAGCAATCCATGTGCAGATAAAAGGTACAGTCTGCCCTCATCTCAGGGCAAAGGAGTTAAAAGGGGAATTGAGAAGGTCAACTAACCCTTCGATCTGTGACGACATGCACAAACACAACGCACAGTCCCTCTCATAGCAGGTCAACACCCCCATCCCCGCCCCCCCTCCATCTAGCCATTATCAACAGCATCCAAAAGCTACAAAGTCTAAAAGTAGGTGTTCTTTTGCTACATCATGTCAAAGCTACATTCAACTACAATAGAAGAAGAGCTGGGCTGTGGCTGGTCTTAGTGTGAGAAATGAGGTGGATATGTTGACCTTATGAAAATGGGGTTTATGCATTGCAATGTTGGCAACATTGGCACAGTTTACACAGTAGATGGTTTTTGGCACAGCTCACAGAAGGTACAATGCTACAGTTCACTACTTTCCCTCGAACACATAGCATTAGGTATTCATATTGGTCAGCCAGAGCCAGGTGCTGTGGACTTTAACTAATTTATTCCAATCACATATGAGCAAATTAGATTAAACTGATTGTACCTATAAGAGGATCAGTGAAGATGTGGAACATCTGACTCTGGCTGAAACAAATGATCTGGAGGAAAAACAATTACAATGTCTCAGATGCAAACAGATGTGCCATTGCATCGCTGTCACATTGAAGGTGGGAATATTGCTCAAAGTCAAACAGTCATCTGATAATCTTGATAACAGGAGTTAATACTGATTGCATTCAGTGAAATCTCAGCTCTTGTATATGCACCTCAAATTGGATCTCAAAACATTCACAGTATATCGTCCAGTCTTCCTGTATTTTCCGAAAGGAAATAGTCAAAATACAGGATCATTTCCCCAGCACAAGTATCTGTGGTTCTTTGTTATTTAAACCTTGGTAACGGTGACTTTTATTGTCCATAATAGCAATATGAATTAACATCAAGGTAATAGTTTTACACATATCAGCAAAATATATTTCCGTTAGATTGTGCAGTTACAACTATGGCACGCATGTCTGAAAAATACAATGAAACTTGTGCTTCATATAATCCATCATCTACAAACTCTGCAATATAAAAGTGGAATACAATAACATCCTAAGGGAGCTGCACTTGGTTTTAATTCCCCTTACTTCATCTTGATAAATCTTAACTGGCCACTTTCATAAAAATAATAAAGTTCATAGCTGCACACCCCTTGCTCTGTAACATGTAGCTACAATTATTAAAAATGACTACAAGCCTCCTGCACAATTGTCTTCAAAGCTAATTTGAATATTATGCAGCCATCTAGTGCCAATTACAGATATTGCACCAATCATCCACTTGATCCACTTACATGATGGTGAAGTATGCATTGTTCACGTGTGGAAAGAAAAGATGGGTCTATATCTATGAAAACATATTTCATGGAAATCAATCTTGCTAAAAAGCTGTTGAGTGGAAATTTGGCACTGCTTTCAAATTATTCCCACTTCCAACACTAGCCACATCCAGCCTCCTCTTTATTAAAACACTAACACAGTGAGAGAAATATATTCATATATTAAAAAATAGGGCAAGGGGAGAAAAGTCTGAGTAAGAAAGAAAAGAAAAGACAGACGTAAAAAAAAATCTGCTACATGTCTTTTTTGTTCTTATTGTTATTTCTCTTTTAAAGTTCAGTTTGTTGTTCAAATACTCAACTGTGTTGGAGCAGCTCTGGTTGGACCAGAGGAGAAATGACAAGCTCCCGCAGGCAGGAGGAGAAGGGGTTCAATCTGATTAAAAGTATTTTTAGTAAAACATGACATCAAGTAGATGGTCCTGGGGTGGAGCTAGATGGGTCTGATGGTGTCAAAGGAGGTCAAAGGGCAAATAAATAGCACTTTCCTCACTGTGAAAGGTGTTCAGGCAGAGTGCATGAGAGAGTTGACTGCATTGCTTTTCATATCAACTGATTTACAAAAGGGAAGAAGAGGGGGCAGTCTCTCCAAGAAGTAATCCACCAATCCAGTTCAAAAGCCAACAGCCAATGAGGACAAGGAGCCAGAGTCGTTGACCAAGCACTGGCATCTTTTGGGAGAGTGTGGGTCTCTTCACGTCCCACAGAGGAGTGTTCTCAAAGCCAGAGGGAGGGAGACGTTTTGAGCATAAATCTGTGTGTGTACGTGTGTGTGTGTGCTCGTGCATGTGTGTGTTTGTGTGTACAAATATGACATCATTACTCACAAGTCGGACACTACTCTTATCCATAGTTGTGACTCTGGGAGGGGAGGAGAACCGAAGATGACATCACAAAGCTCAATTCTGAGCGGAGGAGAAGTTCGGGAGCTGCCGTCCCCGCAAACGCAGTCTCGCCTTCACTCTCGTCGTCATGGGAACCATCCAAGCGGATGTAGCTCACCCTGGTGTGGCGTCTCACTGTCGCCCTCACGAGAACGCGAACGATGGAGCGGGTGACGGTTGCGTTGCTCTCACACAGAGTAGTGCTCGCAGTAGAACTACTGTCCATGTTAGTTCCCGCAGTGATGGTCGCCAATTGATTACCAATGGTCACCAAGGCAGCCATATCTCTGCTGTTGTCCCTGGCTTCAGCTGCCATGGCACCACGGTTCTCAATCGTAGTGGTGCTCGCTCCCACGTCTCCCTCTCTCCTGTCCCCCTGTCATACCTCGCTCTCCAGGCTGGAGAAGTGGGCCGACCCTCGGCGAGAGCAAAGGCTCTTGGCTTTGAGTGGCAGGTGTGGGGAGTAGAACCTCCGTGGCTGTGGCACCGAGCGAAGTCTCTGATACTGGAGCTTGGCACTGGCCGAAGCCTGAGCCTGGCCCACCATCCCGACCCCTGCTTGGGGTGGGACGGAGGATGAAGAGGGTGGAGGCGGGATGGGCACCGGGAGAGAAGTGGGAGACATGGACGGCTGCTGGGGTGGCGAGGGTGAGGGCTGAGGGGGATGGTCCATGGGCTGTGTGCTGAGGCTGAGGTTAGATTGGCTGCCTGATTTGGCCTGACTGGAATCTGGTTTTGGGGGGAGAGGCTTGGGGCGAGAAACCCCGCTGAAGCTGTGGCAGTGGGGGAGAAGCTCTTCCTGGCTGTGTGAAAGCGCCGTGGCTCCTCTCTTGGAATGGGAGGCGTGCGAGCGGCTGTGGGGATGGGGGTAAGGATGGGGCTGTGGGTAAAGGCTGCAGGAACACATGGTGGCTCGTCCTGCTTCTCCCCCTCTGTCTCGAGATCGCCCCTTGCTCTTCCCTCCTCTACTCTTCCACTTTTTCTCTCCCTTCACAGGGATCTTGTCCATGGACCAGTACCTCCTCGGTGGAGGGAAGGCTGCAGGGGGGGGTGGCCACTGGGAGCCGAGTCCTCCACTCCCTCCCCCCTGAGCCCCAACCTACTCCTGGCCCTGAACCCAAGAAATCAGCACCAATCCACCCTTCTGCCCGAGTTCCTAGTAACAAATCATCCCGACTGTTTATACTCCCCCCTTTCTCTCTGGAGGGGTAAGTGCCAAAGAACCAGCCCCCCCCGCCTATGCCCCCTATCCCAGCGCTGCCTCCCCCTGCACCTCCTTCCCAGTATCTTTCAAAGCGGCCAAACTCCCCTGACGAGCCCTCATCTGAATAACTGTCCTCTGCCCGGGCCCTGTCCCTCTCTGACTCAGACACTGCCCTCCTACCTACTCTCCTTCCCCTCTCCCTCTGTCTCTCCCTCTCCTCCTCTTCCTCATCATCATCATCATCCTCATCATCCTCCTCCCCCCCATCCTCAGAGTCCCACTCGGGGAAGGACGGCCCTTCTCTAGTCTGTGCTTTCTCTTTTTCATAATGCATTAACAAAGGACGCCGCTCTCCTAACCTCCCGCTGTCATCCCTCTCCACCCCTCCACTCTTTCTCCTCTTGGAGGAGGGCAACAGAGGGTGGAGGGAGGCTGGAGGAGTGTTAGAATCATCTCCTCTTCCATTCACCCAGAATTTGACGGATGCAGGGAGTTTGTTTAGGTTCGGGTAGCGCTTACTGGGAATACGAGGTCTGGAATGAGAGTGTGAGGATTTGGGACGCCTCTCCCTGCTCCTGCTACTGTCCTCCTGTTCATTGCCCTCATCTCCTCCCTCCCTCCTCCCTCGCTCTACCCTGTCTCCTTCCCAAGAATCCCGTCCCTTCTCCCCAAATGTGCTCCGATACTGAGCAGAGAACGAGTAGTCTTGTAGTCCCCCTTCCATCTCTCCTTCTGCCTCCCCTTCCCTCTCTGCCTCTCCATCTCCCTCCTCTGGCTCCGAGCGTCTCCCCCCAATTGATTTCTTCCTTTTCTTTGTCTTTAGCTCCTTCTTCTTCTTCTTCTTAACCTTTCGCCGCTTCCTTTCTCTCTCTCGCTCCCTTTCCCTCTCTTCCCTCTTTTTCCTCTTTTTGTTCTTTTTCTTCTTCTTCTTCTCTTTCTCCTTCTCTTTCCTCCTCTTCTTTTCCCGTTTGAGCCTTTCAGCATCTCCACCTGCTCCACCCCTTTCTCTCTCACTCCAGCTTGCCCACCACTCTTGGAGCTGAGACAGTTGGCTTCCCCCCCTCTCCCTCTCTCGTTCCCGTTCTCTGTCGCCCCAGGACGTGCGTGGTTTCCTGGGGGGAATGGGTGGTGGCAGACGCCCTTGGCTGAAGGAGCGAGGCCGGATGATTGAGCGCTCCCTCTCCCTCCCCCTGCCAAGGAGGAGGCTCGACTCTTCGGTCAGCTCTTCATCGTCATCATCATCCTCTCCATCTATTCCTCCAGTCCTGTCCCGTGTGCTCCTGGAGGAGCTGTAAGAGTAGGTGGGAGAGGTCGAGCGGGAAGATGAAGCAGATGAGGACGTGGATGTGGACGAGGTGGTCGACGAAGACGAGGACGACGTATAGTGCAAAGATGCGGAGGGCGAAGGAGGGGTGTAAGAGGGGCTGAGGGGTACTGGCACAGGAAGTGAGAGCGGGGGAGAGAGGGGGCGTGCCCTCCTCCCTCCTCCCTCTCTCACTCCATCTCGTGCTCCTCCCCTCCGCCCCAGTGGCAAAATGTTCTCATACAGAGGCCCTCCAGGCTCTTTAGGCTTCTTGGGCCTGCGCTTCCTCCAGAAGGATGAGGGGAGAGGGGGAGAGGGGTGTGGCAGCGGGGGTGTAGGGGGCAGAGGGGCCTGACTCTTAGAAGGCAATCTGGGAGTGCCCAGAGGTTTAACGGCCCCCTTCCCCTGACCTCCGCTGCCACCTCCCACCACCTTCTTCCCCACCCCATGATCTACGCCCTTTTCTGAATAGAAGGCCACACTGGCTGGAGGGGGCTGGGGGTGGCCCCTGGGCATAGTCTTGGGGGTCTGGGAACCTGCCTGCTGCTCCATGCAGGGCCCCAGTCCCTCAGGGTCAATGGGACCATAGTATCTCTTATAGCCATCAAGTCCCCCACCCCCTCCAGCAGCTGAAGCCCAGTTTGGTGGGACTTTCTGTGCAAAGGGTCCCATGTCAGTGATTGCCCCCCTTACAGCCAATGGGTTTGTAGCTGCAGCGGTTTTTGGCAGCCTCCAGCGATCCACCACGGCCAGTCTGCGGTCTGACCGGGGCAGGAAGGTGGAACAAGGGAGGGGTGCACCAGCTATGGGGGCATTTGAGGGACCCAGTGCAGTCCCAGAATGCACCACGGTGGGAGGAGAGCCCGGTAGAGGTGTCTTGTAGACGGGCTGTGGTTGCTGCTGTTGCTGTGGTTGCTGCTGTTGCGCCATGGCAATGACTGGGTTGGTCTTAGACGTTGAGACAACATGCGGCTTGGACGGAACTGTAACCATCGCAGTGTGGTGATGAGTTGGCAAAGTTTTACTTCCACCTGGCGTTGTTTCATCTTCAAAACTACAGCAGCTATACATGCCCTGAGAGAAAAGGGAGCACAAAACAAGAACACAGAGTCAGAGTTCAAATGCAGTGTAGCATGGAATACAATTTAATAAACAATATTTGCTGAAATGGAAATGTATACAAACTAAAAGTTTTATTCGAGATAAGGTTGCAGGAATATATTGGCAAAAGATTTAACAACATACATGCTTACAGATGCCCCACATGTACAACATACATTCTATTACTGAATGTACAAGCGAGATATAGGGACAGAGAAAGTGGATGAGATGAAAATTATAAAACAGAAGTCCAAATAAGTTCCAGTTATCAAAAGAAATGCAAGATTGCTATTTTTCAGAAAAACATCCATTCCTATTTATAGTGCAGCTGTGCATTGTTTGCCTAATGAAATTGCATACATAAATGCATAAATTACAACCACGATAGTGAAAAAGAAGACATTATTATCTGTGTGCTACAATAATCACACGCATATGGTGTGGGCTGTTTCTGTCAAGGTCACTGTCAAAGGAACAGGATATCCAGGATGTGAGCAGAATTGAATTTCAATTAATCTCCCGAATTGACTGAGTGGAATTGAATTGACCCTAGACCTCACACTTTCTCACACTCAGACTGAGTAAGAGATAAGGACACACATGGTCTTGAACATGTGTGTGCATCTGGTTACATGCACAGCTTTGGTATCAATCTTGTTGTCCTGATAAGAGTAGTTTAAGTGCTCTATAATTTTAAAACACCCCATCGATGCCACTAAAAAGGATTTTAATGGAGTTAAAACATAAGCAGTTGAAATGTGGATATAAAAATGTCAGACACTTAAACTCTGAATGCCTGCAGAACACTAAGACATTGTGTGCGCTGAACACACACACGCACATGCACACTGACAGACAAAAGCACTTACTCTGCTGATTGCCAGGAGAAAGTCCAATTTGCCAGAACTGGTGGCCATGCAGTGGCGCAGCTTCCAGTAGACCAAGTGTTCCCAGGCAAACACCAGCAGACTGAGGCCCATGGCCACCAGCAGCATGTAGAAAACACCAGCCATGTTGTCAATATCCAGTTTACTGCTCATCACCTCAATTTTGTCATTATGGCAGATCCCAGACAGCCAAAGGCGCTCCAGCATTTCAATCTCATCTGGAAGGGGGGAGGACGAGAGAGAGAAGCAGGAAGCGGGAAATGAATAAGGTTACAAGGTGGTCAAAGTAAAGGAGGATAACATACAGAGAAAGAAGAGGAGGAAGAAATGCACAATATTAATACAAAAAAGAAAATAATGGAAAGTAAGAAAGGGAAAGGGGTTAAGAAGTGAGAGACGGGATCACGTTGGTAGGATTCAGGGGTTATTTCAAGGTTGTAGAGACAGAAAGGAAGTACAGACAGACGATAGATATAAGAGGCAATAGGAAGAGACAAGGGGCACACAGGGAGACAGAAAAGGCTAATAAGCACTAAAGTACAAGTCTACAGTATTGCTTGCCATTTGCCCATTATCCAAGGTGACTTCTCAAGGTCATAGGTCAGTATACAAAAAGCAGCACTGTGTCCAAAGTAACAAAGAGGTTGGCGCCCGAGACAGAAAGAGAGAGTCCAAAACAATGAAGCAGCACTGAGAAGTAAAATGGCACCGACAACCTAATCTCAACATTGTAACCCAGAGTAAATGAGGAGAAGAGGGAGACCAGGAGCCACGGTGAGGTGGTGGGATACAGGTTGAACAAGCATGGAAGAGAGGGAGAGAGGTAACGAGAGAGTTGAGAAGAATATTTTACAAAGAGAGAGAGGAAGCGGCATTCTTTCTCTGTCCACGAGCGCATCAGGGGAAATGAGACAGACAGAGGCACGGGGCGAGTTAGAGGGAGCTGCAACAAGGGAAGCAGAGATGGAGGATGAGAGGCTGAGATTGTGTCATTATGACAAACTGCAAGAACACTCTTCAGCTTGAACAGGATGAGGGGAGAAAGAAAGAGGAAAAATTGTGAAGAGAGAGATGATGGGAAGGGACAGAGACAGAGGCAGAGGGAGAAGATCATAATCATTTAATTGTGCTGGAGGGATGGTCAGAATCTCCATCAAGGTGGTAAGCTCTGGAGGATTCAAGATTCCCATCTGTTAACCTACCAGGAACCAGGAAAGACCGCTTTACCCACCACCCTGTCTCTTCACTTATGATCTCACTGGCCTAACGAATCTCAGCTGCCCTGCTAAACCTGTGATTGGCTGCAGGGGTTGCTGGTGTAACCATAGTGATGGACAGCTGGAAGGTGTAGTGCATGATTCATGATGGAATCAAAGAGGTGTATTCTCCAACAGGACTCATAATGAGAGCTTTCTGTTACATTAATAGCAATGTTAGGATGAGCAGCCCTGCAGTAACCGGGTGTGAAGGTTGCATTTAACTGCATGTTACAGCCTCTGCTCTATCCCTAAGTCAAAGTGCTAGAGTGGGGTTTAAAAGTCACGCACCCACTTGCAACACTACACCGCTCTGCGAAAACTCAAGATTGAGCTTTTCATTTGTGTGATCGTTAACCAAGCTTGCGTAGCTTAGATGAAGCCGAATCAGTCATCTGTGTGATCTGGCTAATGTGTCTCCTGTAGAACATCGTTAGCCAATCAGCCGTGGCCTACAGCTACAGCAACAGATGGACACTGCGCTACTGCAGCCCACTGGCAGACTCAGGTAACAACTCCCTTCCTCTGATTTATTCATACAAACATACAGTCCAAGACACAAAATGCAGTCTTTAACTCCGGAGCGGAGCTCAATTGAAGAGGATTTATCGGTGTCATTGACCTTCAGTAACAGCTGTGTGTCCAAACAGGCGCCTGAAGTGAAAACAGCAAGTGTCCTAGTGAAGACGCAGATAAACAGGTAGTCTCGTGTCTGTACTCCACTTCACAAGCTCCAGTCGAATCCTTTCTCTAAGCTCTAAGTCTCATCTCCTGGCTTTCCTGCCATTTGACTTCCAGTGATTCATCTTGTGGCTCTTCCTCTCCGGCTTTTACAATCCGACTCTTTTCACCGCGCAGGTTTCTTTCCTCCCTTAGGCCTTTGTGATGGCAGTTGTCTCTAGCTCTCAGTCGCAGCCAGCTCATGCCTGCCAAATCTGACAGGTGTGTCAAATCCACACTCCACCTCTGTCGTTACTGGCAGTTCAGGTCAGGTAGAGCTGGCACACTGCAAACACGAAGCTGGCATGCAGCACAAAGACATCATTTAATAAAGGAAACTGTATTTGTGTGTAAAGTGCAAGTGCATGCTTGCATTGTGCCAGATGTGGCATGGTGCCAGACATGTCCAGAGACGCTGAGCTCCATAGTTGTTGCGCAGTAAACCATGACCTGTACAATACTGTGCTTTTATCACAACATGAAAAACCTCTCGGCATTCACTGCAAGATTTCTGAAGAGAAAAAAAAAAAACCGCCCTGCGAGCCAGAAGCTGTAATCCCAGCTTCTCACATATTTTAATATCTACTCACTGAATAATATATTATTCGAATCAAAATCCTGATACTATGCAAAAAATAGAAGGGGATCTGATAAGCGGAGAAAAAGGGAATCTTGCAACTCAGCAGTTCTGCCTTTATCAGTATACAAGTTGTAGTGAGATCAATGAACCTCCTCTTAAAGCCCTGCCATGAATCACCAGAGGGAGCAACAATACACTCACAGGGCTGACAAAGCCTCGGCGGACTTCTCTAGTGCCGCTCTAATGCAGTTGTAAAATGATATGACTCAACACGGCATGGTACAATAATGATGTAACACTGTGACATGATTTAGCCCGGCTGAAGGTGTGATGCAGACTCCTTGAGCCGCAGGGCGATTGTTGAGATGCATTCTTTGAGGGCACGCTGAAAGTGAACCCCCCCACTCCCTCCCTCCACATCCAAACAAACTAATCCTCTTCCTTAGTAATCCACTCCAATAATGCCTGCCTACAACCAGAAACCTCAGCGTTCAACACTCCCCAGATCCATCCAGCGTGCACAGCTGATGCTAAGAGGTGCACAGAACATAAGCAAGGACAAGGGAATGCACTTCAAATTAAAACAAACAACAGACATAGCATGTCAACGCTGTCTGGGCTCTCTGTTTTTCTAGCACACACACCCGTTTCTCAGGTCCAACATTCAGCTCCAGACCATGGTCTTATTTAATAGATATTGGCATTATCAGTGTGTAAGCAGCTAAAGTGTCCGCGTGCCAGAAACAGCTAAAGGGCTTTGTCCGCTACACCATAAGCAAAGCTGATTTAAAACATAAGAAAAAGCCAAACAAGCAGCATCCGATTGAGACATTAAATCCGTGTGGCAAACTGTGTAAATGGGAATCAAGCATTACTGAACTGCCAACTAATGAAAGAACAGATTATCTCTGTCAAAACAAGGACCTGTCCTCCCATGTATTAATTCTATACACATGTATTTGCAGCGGACAAATAGTATAATAATAATAGCTGTCAATTATCTAATTATTCTGTATGATCCGTTTTTGTGTCTCTGCTTGCTTCTGTGCCATCATCTCATGTTCAGGGTATTTTCAGGTGTTTCTCTTTGTTTTTGTATATATTCCCCACTTCACACTTCCTCGCTCTCTCTGTCAGTCTCAGCTAATCTGTAAAGAGTGTGAATCTGTCACCACCGAGTTGAGACGAAAACTGACTCAAACAAGTACATTTGTGTCTGCTACCAGTAACCCCATGAGCAGGAAGAGGGGGAAAGAGGGATAGATTGAGATGAGTGACATTTGAACATTCACCATCAAAGTCAAAATATATCTTCAATGCTTGAAACCAACAATAGACCCTCTTGCTTCTACATCTCCTTCCTTTTCCCCTCCTCTCTGGTAGCCAATAAAAAGCCCTACAAACCCCTCAACCATCGTCGTCAGCCCTCTCCTACACACCATTATTCCCACACAATCGAAACACCTTACAGCCATCACTCTCTCCACATCTTGCACTCCCCCCCCCATCCACTTCTCATCCTCTCATTCATCTACCCCCCCCGCCCCCCGTGTCCTCCATCCACCCCCCACCCTAGAGCTACTCTGACGCTCGTTTCTCCATCCTGTCATTTTACCCATAACCTTCCCATTGCCCCTCCATTGTTCTAATTATGTTCCCCTTCACACAGTTCTCACCATCTCCCACCAGCTGCAACAGGGCCAGGTCAAGAGGACGTTTCCAGCGTGAGTTTTTGTGCAGGGCGATACCGTAGCCTGTGGTGGCAAAAACCTTCCCCGAGCCTATGGTCATCACCTTGGAAAAAGGACAATGTGCAGAAGGGTGAAAAACTGGCCAAGAGACAGGCATATGTATGCGTTGAATTTAGTATGCGAGCAAAAGTGCCCTGTGTAAATTTGTCCTTACCTTACAACCTTCGTCCTTCCTGGCCATATAGTTCAATACTGCAGCATCATAAATAAAAGCATCCAGTTTCCTGTAAAGGGATGAAGGGAGAATACATTCATCATTTATTGGGAGAGAGGGCGCAGAGGTGTGGAGAGACTGGCTGAGGCATGGGGAGGAGGAAGAAAGGTGGATTTCTGCGATGTACCTGGGAAGAGAGTTAGGGTGCAAACATATGCGGCAGACAGGCACACGGAATGATAGAGAGGCCATGAAAAGTTAAATCATAACAAGAATAAAGAACGGTGGATGGAATAGTGAAGCAGGTTTGGCGGAAACCGTGAAAACAAGGAGAATAAAATAAGAAGGAGATCAGGGAAAGATGTGTGAGTAAGAAGGAGCGGGAAGGTGGTGGAGGAGGAGGAGGAGGGTGGTGGGGATTTATATGGTGCGAAGAGCGCAGTGACAGGAGAGAGAGAGAGAGAGGCCGAGAGAGAAAGAGAAAGGAAAAAGATTTACACACTTCAGGGGGAAAAGACACGGGATAGAGCCGGAGAGTGATGAGGATTATAAAGTTTAAATACAGACACACCGAGAAAGCACACTGGGAGGGGAAAGAATGGACCAAAAGAGGGAAATGGTAAGATAAAAGAGCAGATGAGGGTTGAGAAGAACGAAAGGCTAAGCAGTAGGGAAGAGAAAAAAGACGGCAGAAGAAAAGCAGGAGTTTCTCATTTTTGTACATGTTAACACTGAGTCATAATTGTGGTGTGGAGGCAGTGGGGAGGGAGAAATGATGACAGGGGCTTAGGAAAGAGTAAACTGGGATTATCCGACACATGACGGGTGATAGAGATTCTACTAGAAACTGAAGAGGGAATGCTGCTCGCACTGTGCGGGTGGGTGGAGAGAGAGGTGAAGGTGGAGATAGAAAGAGAGTACAGGTGGAAAGCAGAAAGTGTGACGGAAAGTGTGAGAAAAGATGTGAAATATTATTCAGAGTTGAAAAGAATGCAGCTGCGTATAATAGCCTGTTATTGAGAGAGGGAGAACATTAAAACAATTAAACGTGGTAATTGAAATAGAGTTAACTGTTTGTAGGCAGAACATTCATTTGACTTTTTATTCTTGGATTAGTACTTAATCATTTGTTATATGAGCATCTTGGTTGTTGTTGTTATTGCTGTCTTGTAAACTTATTTGGCATAGAGATTGTATCTCTCAAGAAAACAAAAATATAGTTTTAGGTTTACCACAGGAGGGTGTGAACTTTTTCTAGCAACTTTCTGTTTATCAAATCTAATGTCTGATCTTAGAAACAAAAGTTTGAAAAGCATGCTTGAATGTAAACGCAGATACACAGAGTTAGATGATCAAAAAAGAAACGGGTGAATGTGACGGAATGAATATGATGTTGAAGCAGACGGACCCAGTCTTTAGGTTCGTTATGGCGTCCTCCACTCCTCTCTGGTTGTATTTGCCCATGTACTGGTGCATGTCTGGGTAGTTGGAGCGGATGTTTTTTTCCGTGCTCCCGTTGGGCACCGTGCCAAACTTCAGAGGTGGGTACTGCTCCTCGGGATGCTGAAACTATCGGAGAAAAGGGAGGGAGACGGAAGGGGCATGAGACACACCAGGCTGTGCACCAATCTGTCTGACCTATTTCTGTCCACTCTCCAGACTTACAACACTCCATGCACAGTCAAATCATTCAGAAGAGTGCAGTGTGTGGACTTAAAGAAGCATTTAGTACTGACTTTAAAGCATTCAAGAACTGTGATAATTGAGTTATGTTAAATGGGATTTTATTCATATTCTAAATTCCCGCGCTTTAATCAATTTAACATTCAAATGCACCGGATTTGGCTCACTCTAAGACTTTAATTCTCCTTCTGCTTTCCCCCTACTTAATCAGTATTCCGCCAACGAGGTACCTTTTTGTCCGAGAGCCCTGACACTGTGTCAATGTACTCCTCCTGGATCATGAAAGCAGCCAGGTTAGCAGTGTAGGAGGCCAGAAAGATGACAGCGAAGAAGGCCCAGATCAGCACCATGATCTTGCTGGTGGTTCCTCTGGGGTTCTCCACTGGCACAGAGTTGTTGAAGACAATAGCCCACAAAAGCCATACCGACTTCCCTATAGTGAAAGTAGAGCCTCCAGCCTCTGGACAAAATAATGCAGTGGGAAATATGAAAGAGAGAGGAAAAAGAGACCGTAATGAATTGTTGTAACATTAGTTTTTTTTCTAGATCAGATCCAGCCCGTACACGGCCCAATTGTGAATTCATGAATGTGTGACTACAGATGCAGCATCCGGTCAAATGAAACTTCACTGACTCTGGCTCATTGACAACAAAGCTCACAAAGCGGTGACTATACGTTTTAAGGTTTGCAGCCTTCAATTCAGCTGCTACAGTTCGTAATCTTACAAATGATTAAACCACATGGTGCAAGTCACCATTCAAAGGGATCAAACACTCTTTATACAACAGGAGTAAAGGAGGAAGGAAGGAGAGGGATGAGAGTGAATGAGAGGGATATATAGGAGGATGACAGAGAGGTACAATTATGTAGAGCACAGCAATCATGCAGTAAAAGAGGCGAGTCGGGTATCAGGCATACTGAATATCACAGGGGTACAAACTATGCTGTTGAATAATAAATGGCTGCTTCAATATTGAGAATACTTGGATGCAGTTCAACATACTGAAGGTAAAATGTCCTCTTCGCCACACTCACAGTAAAGGATTTAGGGAAGCGCATTCAAAATGTAAATGGCTGCATTCTGAATGTGACAACTGACCAATCAGACAGCAAGATTTTTTTTTTTAAAGAAATAAAAAAATGCATTATCATACTAAATTTAATTTAAAATGTAATCCCTGTGGCAAAAGCAGCGGACTGCACGCAGAGCCATCTATCAGACAGAAAGACTGACATCTTTGATCCGTCACTCACTCTTGCCGTTCGCGAGACTGCGATTGTAGCCCACAGGGCTGAAGAACTCAAATATGAAGACGGTCACAGCTACTACGGTCAGGCACATGACGAACATCATCACCCACACCGCGGGACTGTAGGGCTCTTTGAAATAAAGCAAAGGGAGGAAATTAACATATAACACAAGGGCTTATTAAACCACTGCATTCATATATTATTAATATCATCATTATTATTTGTTTTTCCAGATTAGTTGAGATGAACCATCACTTTCACAAAGCATAATACATTGCAAAAGAATCACAGCAAGAACAAATACAGAAATACATTAATTTGTAGATAATGTTAAAATAACTATGCGAAGTGACAAGATCTGTTCACAATTGTTCCTTTAAGAGCTTTAGAATCAGACAGAGAGGCCAATTCTCTTAGTTTCAAGTCTTTTTGAAGGCTATTTCAAGTGCGGGAAGCAGAGCACATAAAAGCTTTCTTTCCTAGTTCAGTCTGTGCACTTGGAACAGACGAGAGAAGACTCAATATATGATTGAAGACTAAAACTACAGTCAGATTTCAGATCATGGTAATTAAAAACTGGTTTATAGAAGGATCAAGAGCGTTTAATAACCCTGGCACATTATGTACTATATACTGTATACAAAGGGAAAGAGCACCATAGGCAGTGAAAATAGCTCCACCTAACACTGCTTCTCTTTTAACAATCATCTTGATGCAGTCTACAGGCCAATAAATGTTTTCCCGCCGGAGCCTCGAGTCTGCTGACAGAGTGAAACTACAAGTTGTGAAGACACGAGCAGCAGTAAGGGCTAATCTAGATGTAAGGACCAGCAGCCAAAGACTGCTTTATGCAAACTCAACACTTCCCGATTAGATTAGATTCTGTACATCAGCGGGGCTTCTCACACAAACACGCCTCACCTAAGAAAGCGGATGGTGATACAGTTCCGTTGCTACGGGAGACCATGACACTGATCCCCGTCTCCACAAAGGGGACGGAAAAATCCACGACCTCCGACCTCTCCTCATTGATAGTCAGCGAGCCAATGGCCATGTCGGCTCGCTTGTACACCACCTACAGGGAACGAGAATCAGCGTGAGACACAAATCTAATAATGGGTAATTCCTGTGGAGGTTTCAGAACGACAAAACCAATCTTTTACAGTTCACAAAGGTTTATGTCCAGGTGAGATGGTGACATTTCTGCACCCTGACCCTTTGTACTTCCTCAAATATGCCTGCATGGGAAAAGGCCAAGGATTCAATCTGGTACAAAGACTGAACACGTGTCTCTTCTGCATCTCTTTAGCATATAAAATGAGGGTAGGGCCCTTCACCCCCCTGCCACCATCTACAAAACCTGAAAACTGCTGTGTGTGCTGATTGTACAAGTGAAATGTTAATCTACATTAGACATGGCACATCCGCTCTTCAGAGCAAATCAGCAGAAAAATAAAGCGAAGCGGAAAGCAAAGCACCCTCCCCTCAACTTTGCCAAGTCTCTGGATTACCTGATCAAAGAATGGCAGCTTTGGAACATCTGATCAAAAGACAGACATTAGTTTTTGTAAACAAAAATTGCTTGGCCTTTTGCATATGAAAATAGATTCGACTGACAGCGCTGGCCCCGGCTCAAGTTATAAATGATAGAGCAGGAGAGCGTGGTGGAACTGTTGGGAACCTGTGACAACTGGCGTTTGGCAAGTTTCCTCTGGGACAAAGATAGAAACAGCGGGCTGCTTCAATGAAACAGCAGCGCCGTATCGATCCCAGTATGTGAGCATGTGTGCGCGCTTGTTTGTTTGTGTGTGCCTGTTTCTGTTTTTTTTTAAGCCAGCATCTCTGTTTCTTTCTTGATGGGAGATCATGAACCCCAGTGTGTATTGCTGTGAAAATATCAAGGACAAATCACAACTAGCCAGGGGGTGTCTGAAAACGTGTGTGTTTTTGTGCTTCTTCATGTTTGTGTCTGTGCAGATGAACAGACTGTAAGAGACTGTGTGCTCGTTGCATATGTTAGCCATCTAACTTCTCTGTCTAAATTATGTAACTGTGCATTTTTTAGCCTCCATATCAGTATTTGTGTTTGCAAATGTGTGTGGGTGTGTAATAAATGACAGCTGTCTGAGTGTTGCTAAGTTTTAAGTGGCCATAACTCTCAAAGCGATTGATGTGGCACACAGCGTCGAACTGGTCACCCAGGTCCCAGGAACAGAAATATTACTATGCAGCTTCTTGACTGAAAAAGCAACGAAACATATGTGGAGGCATAAATATAAACTTACACACACTCACAGTCACACACAAACAACCTTCACAAGAGCGCAAGTGACCGACATTGAGAACACATTGCTCACAAAGGCAGACAGGCAGAACCACAGGTACAGACACGTACAGCACACACACACACACACACACACACACACACACACACACACACACACACACACACACACACACACACACACACACACACACAACACACACACACACACACACACACACACACACACACACACACACACACACACACACACACACACACACACACACACACACACACACACACACACACACACACACACACACACACACACACACAACACACACACACACACACACACACACACACACACACACACACACACAGGGACTTGCCTCTCCAATCATTCCGTTCCAAACCCCATCAATTTTCTTCCCATGTTTCCCATTGGTCACTAAGTAAAGGTCATAGGTGAAGCCGACAATCTTGGCCAATCTCTTGAGGATGTCAATGCAGAAGCCTTTGCAGCACTGCTTCATGGGAGCCACGCCCTCATGGATGACACTGTGAAAGAGGAAAAAACGTTTTTAAAAATCTGAGTAATAGTGTCAAATAATAAGCCTTAAAAGTGTGCATCCTGAGTGGCGTGTTATAGTCTGAGAGGAAAGGAAAAGGAGAAAAACAGAATGAAATGGCCACTGCGGAGAGATATTGTGGCCCATCAGTTGGTGACAGGTTTGATCGACCAGTGTAGGATAGGTGCCGTCATCCCTCAGAAGCTGATGAACCATAAAGCTCCACTGTGGTCGTATCTGATTCAGGAACCCTGAGTCATTCCACTGATCCTCTGGAGAGCAGTCTGTTATTGATTATGGTCAGGGAGTGAAGAGACCACAGTTTTGATAAGTGATTGATGTCACTTTCACTGGATGCCATGATGGGAGCTGAGGAACTCCATTCATAACACTGGTAAATAAAGTAAGGGCTACATCTCTGTCTTTTTCATTTGATCTCCTTGATGATGATTATTATGTCCAGCTTTAATAAACATCAACATCAAAATCCTAGTTAAAACACTGGGACCCATAGACCTTAGATCTAAAGGACTCATACCTGGCGTTAAGGGGTCGTCTGCAGGGCACCGAGTCACGGATGCAGGTCCCGGATGCAGCGTCTGCCAGCTCCACAATGACAAATGGCCGCTCCTCCAGTGTGACAACGCGCAGGTGCTGGGCATCGTCAGGTGGTTTAAGGAATGGCCCGTAGCGGGACCATGCCGGGTACCGGAGCCTCAGCACGCCGTTCTCCCACCAGCCTACCTGGAGGAACAGACCAGAGGAAGATAAGAGAGAGGTGGAGCACATTTCAACGATAAATATCATCCATTAAAAGAAAATATGTATGGTACATCCAAGTAAAACAAGCTGATTTGGAAAAAAGGGGTGACATGCAGTTTTCCAGCCGTTTAAGAACCTGTATTTGGCTCTTAAAGTTGTTTTTATATAGGAGGGAATATACACTTTCAATTTTGACATGCGAAAATGACCAAGTCTCTGTGATCAAGTAGCTAACATGTTCCGGCGTAACACAAGTCTTTTGCACTGATATGGTTATTCCAACACATACAATCACGGTTGCTAATCATTCTTGAGGGTCGACATGCTCAATGTCTAACAGGAACGTTAAAAGAAAGGGTTGGAAATAATATTGTACCTCAGCATTTGGTAGAAAGATTGTTTCTAGCTAAAACTAGCTTTGCTCAAGATGACGAGTTGTGAGGAGTCCATTTGTGAATTTAGAACTCGGTACGTTCCTTCTTTAATTCAGTCAAGCTGTGTGATCAATGTACTTTTAAATTCGAAATGTATTAAAGTGTCTATTTGATTATGATGAAAAATAAAGCTTAGATACTTGGTCAAACTGAAACACCACTATTAAACACACAACCAGTTTATTTAGGAAAGCTACAGATTAAAGCTGTTTAATTAGAGCACTGTTTTACTGATAACTCAACATTGGATTTAAAATAAATGTTCCTTAAATAGATGAATAAGGCTTTTTTTTTTTTTAATAAGGATACAAATACCATAACCTTACACATTTTCTTAGTCACACTGAAAAGGTAAACACAACAAACATTAACACAACAAATCCCTTGCAATACCAATAACAACTGTATGAAGACATATACGAAAAACTAATAAATAATACTTTGTGTATTTGAGAAGGTTATTGTGCCAACTTCATATTTGTTTCTCTAAATATCCAAAGTTATGTGGGTTGGGAGCAATTTCCTGAAATATTTGTGTATGTGCTGATTGATGGGATCACAGGAGTTATTCAGATTTGTTTGTACTAGAAATTCCCCTAATGTAAAATCAGACAGTGCCATATAATTATGTATAATAGCTTTGAGTAGGACGAAAGTAACTATTAGATTCATGTTTGCACAAACAGTGGGCTGTATTGGAAAGATATGGTGAACAGAAATCCACTTTTCAAACCTTTAGGCCTTTCAACATCCTGGGAAAAAGCTTAATGTAAACTGGTGTCAAGCACCCGTCAAAAAGCATTTTATATTTTTGAAAAGCACATTAGGGACTCTAAACAGGGATTAGATTCATGCCCCACAGATTTGATTTCAGTATGATTTTATAAGCTGTTTGAGGCTGATGTTTTGAGATGACATTGTGTTGTGTCCACTGTTGACCTAGAATGACTGCCAAGCCTCCCTCTGCTGTATCATTGTCTGACCCATCTCTTTGCATTGGTTAAATGCCCTCTGGATGTGATGGATGCTGTTGCCCGACATATTCAGCCTTTCCAAAGCAGCACGAGTCGAAACCACACCCAAGAAGATTCAGTGCAGAGTTTGTTCTCTCTTTTTTGTGTGAACCTTCCTCTTGCAGCATCGCTTGACACATCTTGCCATTATCACATGATAAAAGTCTCGTCTACAGTAAGGTGTCAGGACAAGTGCAACAGAGGTGACGCACACAAAAGACAGTGTGCGTACACACAAAAGACAGTGTGCGTACACACTGTTCACCCAATCTTACAGACACACTGTATACACAAAGAAATACATAACAAATATACAGTCACACACGCAAAATGCTGAAAAGAATTTGTGTGCATAAGCAGGTCAGTAGAGTGATGTAAAGTTTGGCAGCTGCGATTAGCCTGCCTCTCTGTGTAATGTGCTGGCAGGGAGAAGAGGAAGAGGTGGCAACAATGACAGCATTTCGACTGCACTTCGACCGCAACAGACATTCAATCAACACACTCGGGAAACACAGACAGGAAACAGATTAGTGTGTTCTCCTATGAGCTCTAGCAGACACAAATCCAGAAAAATACACGAACATCAGAAGAAGAAAAAATACTACTTTGGACTCTTCAAATGGCTGGAATATCTTTCGGCAGAGAGAGTATTCTGGCTCTCGGGGCAAAAGTTGAGTTCTGGGAGCCTCTTGAAACTTAAAATAATATCCCTTAGCAGCTGTGGGGCGTTAATAAACGTTAATTATATCACGGTAATATCCTAGAAGATCATGCTGTATCTGCATCTTAAACAAGCCATGCTAATGCTGGACAACCTTCAGTACTAGTCTGCAGTGTTTCAGTAAGCTAAGCTGGGTGCTCCGGGGCTCTAGGTAATGGTGCAGTCATTGTAAAGAGAACATTAAATATTCAGGGAGAGCCAACAGCGTGGATGTGCATAATAGGCAGATACAGGCGTCTTATCCTCATTGTGTGCGTGTGTGCAATAGGGTTTATGCAAGAAGGGTGTAAGCATATGTGTGTACGCAAACACTTTGTGCCCTCATTTGTGCGTACACATGTGAATGTATGTATGCAAGTTATAGGTGTGGGTGTGTATGTGTGTGTGTCCATGTGTGTGTGGGCGGGTTTTGTACCCTGGGTTGGCTCAGAGTCGAAGGACCAGCGCAGGAGCTTCTAATTGAAAGGGATTTGAGGGATATGGCAGGAGTCAGCATGTTACGACACGCTGAGACTGGACTCTGGTGGGCTGTTAAAACCAGCAGGAGGCTGAGAACCACCAACGTGTGTATTTTGTGTATGTGTGTAACCTTGTGTGGGTGCATCAGTGATTATATGTGCAGTGGCAGAGTGTATGTTCTGACAGTATACTGTGTGTCTTTATGCATGTACAGAGTGGTGTTGAGGTGCTGGTGTGAGGTTGAGAAAATGAGCATTGCTCTCTCTTCTGACACTGACAAGAGTAAAATCCCAAAGTATTAAAGGGAAAACATCTCCAACAGGTGACAAGGCCTCGTATTAAGGATTTCCGAACAAACCACAGCTTTATAGAATATGCATGACACGCTGGGGTACTGGAGCTTGACGCACATACAGTTATGTAGACACTCTAACATACAAAACACAACCAGATGGTAATGACAACTAGAAATCTTCAGCACTACTTAAATCTGTATTTTATTTTACAGTGAAATGCCTGGTAATACAGGCAGCACAGAGGACAAACAGCAACTATTGATCAGAGCAACATCAGAACATTGCTTTTAGTAAGGTGACAAAGAATGAAATGTATGAGTATGTATATCTATTGATCTGAGGATAGGTTTTACATTTCTAAAGATTGTCTAAATACTCTCTCATACCCATATGTACATTTAAAGACTACGATTTTTTCCTCTTTAGTGGCGTGAAGTGTTTCTTCCTATTGTGTAAAAGATGGGGGACACAATCTACAGTCCTCTCTCCATCTTGTAATGCATAACATTATAATATCCAGCCAAAGCTACTGTAGGTAAAGCTCCAACAGTCTGAGTTTTAGTAACATCAAGTCTGTTTGAACAAAAACACCTTTGTGCTACTTTTCCTCTGCTGCATTTCAGCAACATTGCCCACTGAATCACAAAGAGGCAAATTCATACCAAAGAGAATAAACTCTTGATTTGGATAATTCAGACTGCTGAAGCAGTATTCATACAGTATTAGCTTCACCTTGGAAACACATTTTTTGCACAAAACTAAGATTAACTTGTGTAGATGTGGATTGTTTTCCTCCATCACTTTCGCTAAATATAGGCATGCACATGTGTTGTATAAGGACAGACTTAAAAAACATGTTCACCTATCCTTTAATCTTGTGAGGATTTTATTTTTTCACGGATTATCTGATCAATTAGAATCTCCCAGAGGCCATGGTGATGCTTGTTTTGTCAGACCAACAGTCCACAACCCCAAGAGGTTCAATTAACAATTATATAAAATCTAAAAAACAACTTTTTACATTTTACCATCTGGAAATAATATTTGCCCTGCTAAATAAATAGTAATAGTTAAATGATCTATCAGTCATCAGTTATAAAGTGATTGCTCTATGATTGTATGTGTGTGCATTGTTGGTTTTGTGTGACAGCGCTTTAAGCAGCAATAGCAGAGTTACACAGAGACAGCAGAAAGTGAACAGGCACAGCAGGAGCACAGAAAGCAGAGTCAAACGGTCAGCAGCAGACTTCCCTCCTCTGCCTCGGGCACTGATAGCCAAAGTGAACTTTACATGGATCTGACCCACGCGACCTGACTACTCTCACTGTCAGGTATATATTCTTATATCCGATGCCAATGCAGCACAAATCTGCTCCTATGGCTCGCATGGAGAGATTAGGCCTCAAGAACCAATCAGCAAAAACCTGCTCTGGGTCCAACTGCTAGTCACTTTTGTCCTTGCAACAGAGGACACATGTCCAGTTTCTCATGTATTCCAAGTTAAACAGTTTATGGAATAAAAAAGAATATATTTTGTGCATTATATGATTCAACTGAAAGCATGTCCTTTTCTTCTCAAAAGTGAGACTCTTCATGCTTGAGTACTCATTAGTAGCAATAACATGATATCATGTCCTTACATCTTCCCATCCACGTCCAGGTGTCCAGGAAATGACATCGAGGAATGGGTTGGCCAGGTAACCGTCCACATTGAAGGAATAGTCACGACCACCAAGCGTTATGTTGCCGAAATACCTACATGGCGATGGATGGGGGCAGAAGGAGAAGTAAGTAAATGACCAAAAATATTATAATATTAGTATATTAACCACTTGTTTTATTAGAGGAGAAAAAAGAAAAAGGGCTGTTCATGATGCAACAGTAAGCCTGTCCTATTGTCTCCCTGCTTGAAACTAAATCACAGCACCTCTGTGGTGACAGTGAGGGCTTCTCTGTTAATCAAATCTACAGACAAATGATCAGACGTACAGAATTGTCAGGATCTTTGAAATCAAACGACTGCTGCTCTCTGAATCGGCTGCGAGCTCTTTAGTTTGTCTGATAATAACACAGGACAGACGTGCTAACTGTCGCCTCATGTCATCTTGCTGGCTTCAAAACAAAACCCGAAAGCCTTTTTTTGCATGACAGACAGCCTCATATGGCAGAGCAGCTTGTAGTTACAGAGAGTGAACAGCAGGTAGCACTGCAAAAAATAAAAAATAATAAAAAGGCAAACATCTCTCTCTCTGTGTTCGACACAGATTATAAACAAAGAAGAAAGAGACCATTAATCATTCCCCTGTAATCGCCACGCTGTTTGCGCTGTGCTTAAATAACTGTAAATAAACAAATTCATTATATGTTTGTCCCATTAGAATGACCACACTTAGAGTAGTCTCTCTATACAAAATCATGTGTGAGGTGTGCATGTGAAGCAAGACGATCCAAGAAGATAATACATCCACTTGCACTACCTGTTAGAGTGTGCTGCTGCTGCCTGTTTGCACAGCCTACGAGGAATATATTAAAGCCAGCTCATTAATATACATGAGACATGGTCCGCTTGCTACAGATGCTGGGGTAATTTTGCCAACTCACAACTACACGCACCAACAACATCTATTTTGCATGGATGATAGCCAGCTCCAAATTCAGATATCCCCTCAGTGCCTGCGCTCTGACACCGAATCTACCGACTCCACCCATACAGTATACCTTCCAGCTCATCCTGGCACCAAACCAACTCGTTTCATAGAATACACCTGAGCCAGTCTCTATTTAATTTTCTTCCTTTCTCATATATTTTGTCCAGAGCTTGCCAACTGCCTCCCCTCCTTCGTCTATCTCACTTCCCTCCTCACATTTTCCCTTAAGAGCGTTCCTCTCTCCTCTTATCTCCCTCTCACCTCATCCTGCCTCGCAGTCTCTGGGTCTGATTGGCGTCCGTCATGCAGTTGGTGACAAAGTTTGGCCCACCCGTTGTTCCGTAATCCTTGCGCATGGCCACAGCTCCGTGAGTCAGCACAGAGACTCCGCGAGCGATCCTCCGGCGGGGTTCGTCCCTCCAGCCCTGGGGCCGCACGGCAAACACAGCCCGTGGCAGGCTCTCCATGCTCAAACCTGAGAGAGCCGGGCCCACGGCGAACCACATGTGCGAGGCCCCGGCCTGACCGGCGGCCCAGGCGGCTTTGAAGACCAGCTCTGCCTCCTCCTGAGAGCAGTACAGCAAGCGCACCTGGAGGACAGCAGGAAGCCAGGGAGGGAACAGGGACGAGGGGAGACACACACACACACACATACACGCTAGTGAGATAAGGAGGGGACAGGGGAGACGTGGAAAGAGACAGAGGGAGGGAGAAGTAAGGGGAGAAAGATAGAGCTGGAGCAGAGGTGCACCTGAACGGGAGAGGAGGAGGTTGGATAGAAAAGGCCATATCAAGAAAAAAAACAAGGGTGCTGGGGGAGGTAAGAGAAAAAGCTGTTAGCTGATAAGGTTCGTTGGAGTCGGACGTATGATTCAGGGAGGGAAGCAGACACACCAGAAGGAGGGAAGACTGCATGGCTGCATGTTATGCGTGCTAACCAGGAGGAGCCAACGGGGTCAGTGCTTAATGAGCTCGGGCCTGATAAAACCAAAGTTACAGTTATGAATTATGAAAACAGGAGTAAAACATGAAAGGGAAAATGAAACAACTGTAAGTGGTAGAGCAGAGAGATCGGGAAGCGGGGAGGAACAGGAAGCGTGGGGGGTGTGGGGTTAAAGACCAAACACACCTGAGGGAAAACAAAGGGGGAGAGGTTAAACACTGACACATGTTATTAAAAGCATGGCGGAGAAAAGACCTGGAGACAACAGACGATGATGATGATGGAGCAGATGGAGGAAAGAAATCAGAGGCGGGAGAAACAGAAAAATGTCACTCCTTGGAGGACGGAAAAGAGGAGGGGGGGATGGTGAGGAGAAGTAAAAAAGGATGATATATTTTGGTGAAATCAGGGCCTGGAGAGATAAAAGATATTTGTAAAAGACAGGGGAGGGAGTGTGGCTGGGGAGGAAGAGAGAAGAAAACATGAAAGATAGAGCAGTGACAGTATATGAGCTTTCTGCTGAAAGTGCTGAGGTAAGGAAGGGAGAGGAGGGGAGGAGGGAGGAGGGAGAGGAGGGAGAGGAGGGGGGTAGAAATTGACCAAAGAGGGTTATAAGGGTTAAGAGCTGAGAGGAAAATGAAAAAGGGGGGAGAGGGTTAAATGCTGACAAATACCTTAAAAGACAAAAAGAGCGTAAGCATTTAAAATAATGCAAGAACTTAAAGAAATTATGCGCTTTAGAAAATGAGACAAAGATGAACCAAAGGACAAAAAAAAGAGAAAGAAAACGCTTTCGTAAAAGAGGAGAAGGGGGGAGAGTCAGGGAAACAGACTGAAAGCACATTTTGAGAATCGCGCCTTCATTGAATTTTGAACTGTAATGGCTTGGCAAAACAATACTGCCTGTATGCCAATAAACCTCCAGTGAATTAGGCCGGGAGTGAGAGTGACAGAGGGGGGAGAGGAAGGGGAAAGGAGGGAGGAAGAGGGTGAAAGACAGAGAGGGAGACTGAATTAGGGAGGGAAAGAGAGAATCAGAGTTAAAAACAGACAATATCTGAAGACGGGAAATGGAGAAAGAGAGGAATGCACGACAGGAGAGAGAGAGGAACGTACAACAGGAGAGAGAGAGAGGAACGCACGACAGGAGAGAGAGAGGAACGTACAACAGGAGAGAGAGAGAGGAACGTACAACAGGAGAGAGAGCAGAAGACATACTGACAAGGCAGAAGCCGGAAGAGGATGGAGTCAAAGATAGACAGTGAAAGATTTGAGTAGACCATAGACCTGCTTCAGGCCATCCACAATGTAGAGGACATGTTGCATAGCGAGAGAGAGAAAAGCATGTAATGCAAACACACTAAGCATTACTAAGCAATCACAAGCATTTATTAGCCTTGCAGTAGTACAAATCTTAAAGCAGTGGATTTGTTATTCAAAACACAGGGTTAAAAAGCAAGCACTGCGTATAGGCAACCTGCTGCAGGCGGTATGTTATATTAACAGTGACACTAGCAGAGTGGAGTCTAAGGAATCCAATACAAACGCGGACACTAAGACACACAAACACACAGTCGCACACACACGCAGAGCTGCAGTGGCCATGCTGGGACATCGGCGATGACATTGAGACCCTGACTAAACCGAGCCAGCGGAGAGCAGAGTCCGTGGAAGACATGCAGCAAGAGGGATGGACTGAAGGAATGAAAGATAGCCATACAGAGATCGAGGTGAACAGGAAGGCAGCAGAGGAGAGAGAGCTTGTCTCCAGGCAAATAAACGGAGGAGGGGAGGCAGAGGGGAGGGGGAGGGATGTGGAGTAAGCGTAAGAACACGGAGACGAGTGGAAAACTAAGCAGGAGGATCAGGGGGTCAAAGAGGGGGTTTAAGGAAGTAAAAACACAAGTTAAGAGGGGCACGGGAAGTGACAATGGAAGTTTAAAAGAAGTGAGGAAAGGAAGAACTAGCAAGGCAGAGGGTTAGGAGCAGGCAGTATGAAGGAATGAAACACACTAGAGGTACAAGCCAAAACCACAAGTCATTCTGGTCATTAATAAATCAACGTGGATTTAAAATGCAGGGTTTTGTTTCACCATCAAGAGAAAGATTGAGGTTTTATCAGGTTTGTATGGAGAGAAAATAAAGTTAGTGATTCCACTTTGATTAAAAAGAAGGTATTAAAATAACATGGAATAAGATAAGGTGAGGTTCAGGTAAAAAGTCTCCAGAGGGGAGGGTTTGGAGGCTATGTTTAGCAGTGTGTGTCTGTTCAAAACCACAGACCTTGATTTGAAATGCTTGTGGGGTTTTCAGAGATCACACCTAAGTCAAGCTACATTATCGCGGAAAGTTATACAAAATAGTGAGTAAGACATGTCAAATAATTCCATCTGATGGAACGGAGCAGCTGAGAATACTTTGGGGTAAACATCATTTAAAGTATCAATGAAGATCTGGGAGAAGCTGAGATTTTACTCTGTGACAGTTTGGAACAGCATGTTCTTCCAACTTTAAAGCTTAGGTAGAAACAAGGGAAAACTGTATGTTGAGTGGTTACATTTTTTAGCACCTTGCACATAACTCTTGGTACAATGCCACCCCGACAACCAGGCAGCAAATCAGAATGAATCGTGTTTTTTGTTGTACTGTTGAACTCTTTATGCCTTGGCAGATGGGAGGGGAAGAGAAGAAAAGAGGGATAGAGGAGAGAGGGGAGAGAGAGATGTGGAGGGACAGAGGGAGAGACGAAGAAGGAAGGAAAAAGCTGGGAAGCCACCTGTCGGAAAGGGGGCCCCCAAGGATACTCGCAGCACTTCCTCCCCTTTCTTCCCCCTTTCCCCCCTCCCTCCCCCCTGTCTCACCTGCGCCTCGTTCTCCTTCAGCAGCCTGCGCGTGCGTGCCCCCCCAGGGTCGTCGGTCACGTTCAGGATCACCACACTCTTCTTCTCCCAGCCGATGAACGAGCCGTCGGTCAGGCCCTCCACAATAGACAGGAACTCCTGGTAGCCATGGTGACGTGTGGCCACCACGGAAAAGGACGTCCAGTCGTACTCCTCCAGCACCTCAAAGATGACCTCTAACTGGAGGGCAGTAGAGGAGCTGAACTGGAGAAAGACGGAACCTGATTCCTAATTTGGGAAAGAGAGCAGCACATTTGGTTTAAAATCTCACTGTAAAATGCATCTTCTGTAGTTGCACTGTGTCTAAAATGCAGCAAATAAGCAACAGACAGAATGTTCACAACAAAGAACTACAACTCTCTGACTGCTTCGTGCAGCCGCGGGGCTAAAACAGCTAGGATTGTTGCACAAATTCTCCTATGACGTCCAAAAGGGAGTGTTTCTAAAAAGTCTGTTCAGGGGATGGGAGGGGATGAGGACTACGCGAGGGTACATCTTCAAAGGAAGTTCATCAAAGTGCTACAATTTAATTCCTCCAGAGTAAATGGTTAAAACTGTTATTTGTAAGCACAAATGCAATGCTTTTTGTTTCTTTTTTCCCCCACGGACACTTGTGAAAATCATGTGACATTAGTTTCTCTGGTTCACACACACACACACACACAGACACACTTATTCACTCATACACACACCCATGTCTGCACATTGCCTCCCTCCCAGGAACATCAGAGGCAGAGCGACAGCCCCAGTTGGTGCCATTTACAGATCAAACACTGCAGAGTTTCAGCAGATCAGCGACCCTGACCTTCAACTTTCCCTTCCGTCCCGCCGGCACTTGCCCAAACCTTTTCTTCACAGAGAGGATACGCGACATTATGACCTTGTAAGTTGTTATGGCAATATAAGCAGCTGTCCCTTTATACTCCATTCATAGAGCTGTCAATCCATACTTCTTCAGTATACAGCGCACACCTAAATAACATTGTTTCACACATTGTTAGCAACACAATCACACGACTCGACATTTGCCCTCTTGTATTCCTCTGATCCCACACACACACACACACACACACACACACACACACACACACACACACACACACCCACCACACACACCCCCCCAATCCCCACCTCCCTCCTCCTACCTGTGGCATCCTCCCCAGCCCCGCTCCCCCTCCTACAGCTACTATGGGCAGTCCTGTTTGCGCAGACACAAACTCCAGCATTGGGGCCAAAGGACCCCAGGCCGTGCGGGGGGGCCTCTCCTCTTCATACACCAGACCCTGCAGGGGCCGCGCCGCCAGCAGCTCACACAGCTGGGACAGCACTGTCTTAGGACTACTGTCATTCACCTGGGAGATGACAGAAGAAATGAGGACAGAGAGGAACAAACACAGAGGGGGATAAAGACAGGGAGAAAAATAGAGTTAGAGACTAGGGCAGTGTGTCTTGACCAGAGGTGGGAAGTAGTGGAGTACAAATACTTTGTTACTGTACTTAAGTACATTTTTATGGTATCAGTACTTTACTCCACTACTTGTTTTTCTGACGACTTTTTACTTTGACTTCTTACATTTTGAACACAAATACCTGTACTTTCTACTTCTTGCATTTTCAAAACAGGCTGGTTGCTTTAGTTTTAATGTGTGTTTGGTGGCGTGATCTTTATTATTTAGAGTTATTGCGTGCCTATTGATTTGAACACGATCCGTGTATCCATCATTTCCTGGTCTTCTCTAAAGAAGAGGAACCAATGAAAACGTTGTCATTTTGCCGTCGTTCAGCATCGAAACATTCATTAGCTAACAATGACATTATTGTTCTATTAATATAAAGGGAGTTCAGGTACTCCTTAAAACAGCTGGTAGTTATGGGTACTTTTTACTTGAGTACATTTCGAAGCCCACACTTCTTTACTTTTACTTGAGTAAAAAAGTTTAGTCAGTACTTCTACTTTACCAGAGTATTTTTAAACACGAGTATCTGTACTTCTACTTGAGTAAAGGATGTGTGTACTTTTGCCATCTCTGGTCTTGACTTTGAGTTATTCATATGGAAAGTGTATTATGTAGTATGCATGGCATGTCGTCTGGCTAACAATACAAGCCGTGGTCAAAGAGCAGCGCCCACACAACGGCAGCAGTGTGATGCTCATTCAGCTCAAATAATGGGAGTGAGAATGAATAATGGATGGTCATTGTTATTCCCTTCCTTCAAGTAAGGCTGGATGAGCAGTAGGTAGAGGAGACGGTATCCAACCTGTAGCCAGATGACGTTAGCAGAGCCCCACTGGGTGACCACGCTCTCCCCCAGGGAGCCGTACACCCGGCCGAAGCCAGGGTAGAGGACCCTTCCCCCAGTCCCCGCCACGGCCGCCTCCGCCTGCACCGTAGCGCCGGCGTGGATCACGGCGATGTTGAAGTTCATCATGGCGCCAGCATCCCGCTCCCGGGGGCTAGGCCGGAGCAGGAGGTGGGGGGAGGCGTCCACCAGACCTGCCCACTCTGCCAGGACCAATAGGAGAGAGAGAGTAGGTATGGCGACCATGGCAACCTGCCGAGGGGGGAGGCAGATATATATTGCACTAAGAGAGGATGCCTGAAAGAAAAAAGAGACAGCAAAAGAGTAGAAGAAGAAAGTGAAGAAGATTAAGTTAGACTCAGGTGTTTTCGTTTTCTAATGTCCAGTACAGAGGACATCAAATCAAGAGAGAAAAATGAAGCACAGAAGGAGGTGAAGGTACAGAGAGAGGGAGGAGGAGGAGAGAAAGACAGAAACTGATCAGAGATTGCATACGAGCAAGATGGAGTAATGAATTCTGAATCCAATCATGGGGTAATAAAAGTTAGCATTGGATGGAGAACATGCTGGATGAGAAATAGGGAATGCAGAGGGGAAAGACAATAGAGGGAAGGAAAAGAAAGCAAGACAGAGAGAAGATGAAATGGGTGCTATTTAGGCTGCAGGCAGAGAAGGATATGAGGAAAAATAAGACTGGCCGTTCGAGGGAAGGCGGGTGAGAGGGAGAGAGTTAATAGCAGACAGAGACAAAGATGGGGCGGAGGTGGTTATTGTGCTGCATGAATGATAACAACAATTAAGATCACTGTAAACACACTCGCCCTCACAGAGCTACATCCACACATGCCAGCGTTTGACACACACACACACACACACACACACACACACACACACACACACACACACACACACACACACACACACACACACACACACACACACACACACACACACACACACACACACACACACACACACACACACACACACACACACACACACACACACACACACACACACACACACACACACACACACACACACACACACACACACACACACACACACACACACACACACACACACACACACACACACACACACACACACAAGATAGATGCATGGCTTCACTATGCCCATAGAGCATCTTAATGATAGAGAGATATGAGGGTTAATGCAGTGCACACACACTCACACAAACAACCACACAGAAAGATAATGACTACCTGGGAGATAGCAGGGTTAATATGTGAGCCGCACACATACACGAAAACACAGCACATCATTTTCAATTCACTTCTGTTGCCAACTTCCCTCCTCTCCCTTTCTCCATTTCCTTCTCACTTTCTCCCCGCTCCCTCCCATGCTCTGTCTTTTCATATTCTCCATCACTTCTCCCTATTTTCATGGCTTCAGGTACCAGACACAATTGCATTGATTAACAGGGTCCTGCTGACATAATATTCCCTCTAAAGTCACTCTCCCTTTTCTCCATTTCCCCTTTCCTCCTCTCTTTGTCACAGTCGGCCGATTCTCAGGCTCTGATCACTCTTTGGGATGGAGAAGGGAAGAAGAGAGCGAGTTGAGAAGAAAAAGTAACTGGAGGATGAGAGCAAGAGGGCAAAGATAAAGGAAGCTGTGAAATGAGTAGAATAGACATATATTGTAAATACAGGGCACATTTCTTAAAGACTAAGTGATTCATTGGAGGGAGAAGGCCAGGTGGAAGAAGAGGAGACAAGGAGAAAGGGAGGACAAAGTATGATGGGATGTGGCGAAAAATATGTTCGGAAAGTAGCAGGAAAATAAATATTGATTACTGGGATATGTATACGTGTTTCGCCTAAACAAATACACTGCCAAACCTCCTGTTTTGAGTGACAGGGCTGTTGGTTTGTGTGTTGGTGGTGGAGGTGGTGGTGGTGGGGGGGCTACAGAGAAAAAAAGGAGAGAAAGGTGGAATGAGAGGGCGAATCAGGGAGGCGGATAGTTTCGGGTAAGAAAAAGAGATGGAGGTGCTAAAAGATAAGGAGAGACAGACCTGTTAGGAAAAGGAGAAGGTAATAATGAAGGGGAGAGGGGAATAAACAAGGATGTGTGGCTTTTTTTTGTTTCTTTTAAGGCGAGGAAGATGTGGCAGCAAAGAATATGGGAGGACAGAGAGAAAATGAGAGAGTCAAAGACGAGGCTGCAGAAGTACGGTGCATCATATCATCTGGTGGAGCTGTGCTGAGCTCTGAGCCATTAACCGTTAGGCCTGTCACTGTATTTCACTCTCATGAGGTGTTTACGTTGCTCTGCCGTACCAGCGTGGGCCATTTCATCACAGAGAGCCTGGCTGGAAGTGTGAACACAGTGGATTCTTACATGCAGTATCCACTCTCCCTGCAGAGCACCACAATAAAGCAAAGTACAAGTACATTATAATCAAATCCTCATCTAAATATATCGTACTGTATAGTTCATTATGCGTTCCAATCTGTGAAATTCTTCAAACTGAATCATAAAAAGCGTGCAGTGAAGGGGCGCACAGAGACACACACACACACACACAGAGAAGGGGGAGGGAGTGTGGGAGAGAGAACGGGAGAGAGATTACTGTTTCATTTGATTTGCGACCATAAATGAAGCTTTTGTTAAAATGCAAATGTTCACATTTAAGTCAATTTTTCTAGCTTTAAAAAACTATCCTCTTCAGTCTTCGGAGCTGCTTCTAATTCAGAACAGTGTATACGTACTCGGAAAGAGACTGCCAACGACCTAGAGAATATGTAAATGATGTATCAATTAGATATAATGTGTATATAATAGGATTTAAGGTGAGGAATACTTTAGGTAATGAAACATGAATAGTAATTTCTAAAACGTGTGTGCTTTTTTCAGTATGACAGGATCTGTCCATCTTTGTTATTGTTTTATTTGGATGATAATGTGTTCATCTTGTTATTTTGGACGTATCAGAATTGTGTAGTGCGATAAATATTGTAATGTATTCTTTTCTTGAATGTGACTGCACTACAAAAGAATAAAGATGGAAATGAAAACCAAAAAGATAAGTACTTTCTTTGATGATTTGTAGAGACTTTAAAACTTTGAATTCATCGTGGTGCAGGCACCCTCAATCATCATAAGCTGTTTAAATCAGCGCTCAGTGCTTACACTAAAGTATTTGTGTTGATCCCTCAATTTGTCAATCAATCTAATAAGCATCTTTCTGTATCTACAGCATAATTATGTCTTCTGCGGAGCCTGTTTAGTTGTCTTTTTAAAACAAAGAAAGTGGCATTTACAGCAACACAGAAGCTGGCGTACATGCCAGAGACTGTTACAAGCAAACTGAAAACACCTTGAGGAATATTTACAGAGTACTTAAGAGCAGAAATATTCGCAGGCTGACAGAGACAGCTAATCAACAAGATGAGAGAGAAAACATTCACGCAGGCAAGCAGTAAACTTCCTCTTCCAAAATTGCCAGCCAGTACTTCACAATCAAAACACATCTTATCAAATCTCCTCTTAAATATGTCATTTACTCTGCATGATGTGCTCTCTGTGATAACACATAGGAACAAAAAGAGCACCGCAGAGGACAGAACTCCTTCCAAAGCCAAATTGCCAAATCTCTCATTGCTACAGAAAGTGAACAAAATATGTGTATCTGCCCGCATCCACTCCAAAATGACATTTTACCCCCTTGGCTGATGCTACTCCCTTTCACAAAGTTTCATGAAAATCAGGCGAGCATTTCTTCCCATAATCCTGTTGCAAAACAGACAAACAAACCGAAAACATAACCTCATGGCTGGAGGTAATTAAAGGCTTCTGCATGTGCAGCTTTTGTACCGACTTCGCTGTTTTAAAAAATGTCAAAAAAGGTTAGCAGGTTTGTGTAGCTGCAGGTGAAGCATCTACTTTGAAGGTAGATGCCTCTGTAGAGGATTACACTGAAGCCTATATTATTCCTGCAAACTCAAAAGAGACATACTAAAAAAGTTGCATAGCCTCTAAACACAAAATTAAAAATTGATTTTTGGTGTCAGTGTGATGGTGGGGGAACAATCAACATGTTTGAGCGTATCAGAAACCCTCCTTCCCCTTAACTGCATGCTGCAGCTGCAGCTGGGCGCCTGCGGTGACTCTGGGAGAGTGAGCCGCGAGAGAGGAGGCAAGGAGCCGCGTGGGTAGAAGTCGGTTTCTGGCATCCACGCCTCTCTGAGTTCCTTTCCCACTGAACTCCAATGAAGGCAGCGTGCCAGACCTTGTGCTGCATCGGATCTGCTGGGAAACGTGAATGGGGAAGGAGTCTGTGGAGTCTGGAGTGTGCAGTTGTGGAAGTGCAGTGTTCAGCGTGGTGTTTACCCCACATCGGGGCTCTGCTGCTTCATTCCATCCTGTCATGCAGAGTAATGGACCTGCTCCCTGCTGCCTATGGCACACACACTGAATCAGCCCGGGCAGCTTTCCACAGCTAACACAACACACCCCAGATATATGCATGTTAATATACAGTGTACTGTACACCATTAGAAGGAATTGCAGCGTCTCTGTGAATAAGATCCCTCGCTCTGAGACTTTTTTTTTTCTTTCCATTCGACCACATTTAAGACCGCAGTGTGCTCAAGAACACTGCTGCATGTAGGCTCTCTACTTTCCTTGAGTCCAAAGCAGTTCTATAGTAACAGATAAGATAAAGTGCCAGCACAGTGTGGTGCCCACAGTGTGCATATATGTGAGTGTATCAGTATGTGTGTGTGTGTGTGTGTGTGTGTGTGTGTGTGTGTGTGTGTGTGTGTGTGTGTGTGTGTGTGTGTGTGTGTGTGTGTGTGTGTGTGTGTGTGTGTGTGTGTGTGTGTGTGTGTGTGTGTGTGTGTGTGTGTGTGTGTGTCGTGTGTGTGTCGTGTGGGGGAGCGGAGGAATGAAGAGAAGAGTGCAGCTGGAGCTCAATGCTCCTCGTGTTAATTGGCCCATACTTCAATCACAGCCACTGGAGTGTGTCCTCTCTGACGGAACATATCCTCTCTCCCTCACTTTCTCTCATCCCCAATCTCTCTTTCCCTCTGTCTCCCCCTCTCCCTCTGTCCTGCTGCACTTGTTCACCCACTCACCCACTCTCACTTGACACACACACACACACACGGACGCACTCTTTCACTCGGTGTGTATCACTTGATTTGGTCTGTTTCATTCAATCATTCATCTTTTCATTCATTCACCTCACTCTGCACCATCTCACTTCCACTATCCCCACTGTCCTCTCTCTTTCTCCATCAACTCCCCTCCTGTTTTGCACTAGCCCT